GGGGGGGGCGGGATCCTTTCCACCACCGCCTAGGCCCTGCCCAGCCCCGGCACCGCCCCCTGAGCTCGAGCATGCGCACAGGAGAGGGATAGCGGCGCGGACCCAGAGCGCACGCGCAGAGACCCGGAAGTTCCCCTGGGTGAGGGAAGAGCTGACCCGGAATCGCTGGGGAGGGGTGGCGGCGGAGGTGCAACGCTCACCTTGGTGAGCAGAGGCGCGGGCTGCGGGCGCCATGGTCTTCCTCACGGCGCAGCTCTGGCTGCGGAATCGCATCACCGACCGCTACTGGCGGGTCCAGGAGGTGCTGAAGCACGCGCGGGTGAGTGTGCCGTGCGCCCCGCGCCCCCGCCTGGCCCGGCGCGCGCGGGTCCCGCCGACCGCCTCCTCTCCCGTTTCTTGACCAGCACTTCCGGGGGAGGAAGAATCGGTGCTACCGGCTGGCCGTCAGGGCTGTGACGCGAGCGTTCGTGCAGTGCACCCGAGCCCGCAGGCTGAAGAAGAGGAACCTGCGGACGGTAAGCGCGGCCCGCTCGGCCTCGCCCCGCTGCCCCAGCCCTCCCGAACCCGCGGGGCCTCGCGGCCGCAGGTGCACCGCGCCCGGCGAGCCGCTCCTGTGCACGCGGTTCGCGCGCAGCCCCGTTGGCACCGGCTGGGCCCGATGCGGTGTGCGGGTGTCGGGGGCGCGAGGGTGGCAGCGGGTCCGGCGCGGCAGCCTCACACGGAACCTGTTGGACAGATGCACGCAGAACTTCCCCAGCCCGGCTTCCCCTGCAGCGCTCAGATCTCTCGCAGCGCCTGGAGCGGACGCCGCTGCCCCGTCATCCTGGCCCTTCTCGAGGCCCCTGCCTCCTCCCCTCCAGGCCTTCACCTCCCTGAAGCTTCCACCTGGACCCTTGCTACGCCCGGAGCTGTGTCTGCCCCAGAATCTTTTGCTCATCTTTGTATCCTCCCTCGGCGCCTAAAGATGTGTGTGGAGTTAATGCTTTATAGCCGGCATTTGGATAAAGAGCACCAGCTTTTGCTAACTGTTCTTTATACTTCAGCCTGAATAGGACACTGACTTTTGTATTTGCTCTTACAAAAAAAACCTTTTAGTCCAGTGACAATCTTCGTTGAGAGGTGTGGATGTAACATACAGCTGGTTCTTAAGCATCTCAGTGTTTCTCATTTCAGCTCTGGATCAGTCGAGTTACAGCTGCTTCCCAGGAACACGGCCTGAAGTACCCAGCATTCATCCTCAACTTGATTAAGGTATGGTCAAGGATGTGGTCCTCCCGAGACGTTAAACGTCTTCATAACCCGTCCAGTTGCCGTGGTCCAGCAGCGCGGGCAGTGGAATGTTAGCAGCCCAACATTGCTTTTGTTCTTGGAGTGGGGTTCTGGTGGGTTCGGGGACGCACCACACTGGCTCTGCCGCTGCCCCGCTGGTAGCAGAATTGGTAATAGGGTATGTGGCACCAAGACATAAGCCCTGGTGTTTCCCCGTCAAGAGAAAAAGGTAGAAAAACTTGGCTTTAACTTTAAAGTTTAATTTCAAAGTTTTTACACTGAATGAATTCTGGTGAGGTGGCAGATCAAGTTGAATCATAGTCAAAAAGGAGGGAAACATCTTGGAGGGAATAAAGCAAGCATGTGCCACAGAACCTTGGTCACTTGCATCTGGTGAGTATGGTATTCCCTCTGCTTTTGTGTGCATTTACGTTTTTTCTTAAAAAGCTAGGGGGAATGGGTCCTTGTGCCAGGCCCTGTGTCTGGCACTTCACAAAGATCCTCGGGGTAAGTGTAGGTGCGACACCTCTGTTTTACTGATGGGGAACTAGGCTCAAAAGGAGAAGGACTCTGCCCACAGCACAGGGGTCCCAGGTGGTAGAACAGGACTGACTTCTCCTGCACAGCTGCCTTTAATGTCAGGAGACCATCCCCCCCTTCTTTCTGCACCCCAGACTCACTGGCACTGTCCATCCATTTTCTGTTGCTTCACTCGATAGATGACTTTGGCTCTCTCATGTAATGAGCGCCCGGTTTTGATCTTAATTCCTCTGCTTGTGCCTCACACACCTTTTCTGTGTCTTATTTTTCATCGTTTGTGAAATGGAAATTGTGGTTTCCTCTTCCCATCTGCCTTAAAGGGTACCCCAGGCCAGAAGTCTGGCTGACAGCCCTTGGTTTCCCCCGCTGCCCCCCGCCCCCCTTCTCCTCCCGCGTCCTGCTTGAACAGGACTCACCACTCCCTCTCCCCCACTGGGGCTCAAGTGGTGTGTGCTAAGGTGATTCAAATCACAGGGTGCTTAGCCGTGTTCCAAGTCTTCCTGTGTTTCACTGAAATGCATTTCTGATGCTGATACAGGCTCTAATTTTCTTCCCAGTGCCAGGTGGAGCTCAACAGGAAAGTACTTGCAGATCTAGCCATCTACGAACCAAAGACTTTTAAATCTTTGGCTGCTTTGGCCAAAAGGAGGCGACAGGAAGGATTTGCTGCTGCCTTGGGGGATGGGAAGGAGCCCGAAGGCATTTTTTCCAGGGTGGCACAGCACCTCTGAGGGGGATGCTGACACCCACTGACTGCCCTTTGAGGCTGAGCATCTTAGGAAAAGTTTTTTTCTTCCCCCATGTGATGATTATACTAAAATAGGAACTAAGAGTTATTTGTCAACAATGAGTAAGTTTGACTTGCATTTGTGTTAATTTACATTTCAGTAACAGGCCTGAGAGAAAAGGCCCTATCTGCCTCTTTTGGCACAGGTTCAGAAATCTCACATGGATTGTGTAAATAAAATATTTGTGTTCTTTGGCACAAACACCTTGGGTCGGCCCTGCCTGAGTGCCCGTGTGCTGGGTGGTAATTAGGGCAAGGCTTCCCCTAGGAACCCTAGATCCTCCTGCAGGCTGGGGGGTGGCAGCAGGCCCTGCTGGTGCTTGACCTCCCCCTTCCCCTCCTTGGGTTTCCAGCAGGGACTCCCTGGCGCAGCTCTTCAGCCACTGAGCACTAGCTGGTTTCCCTCACTCCCCAGACCAGCAGGCAGGGTGGCTGTCCGGGTCCTGGGCTCGCCTTAGCCCCCGCAGGCAGGGTGACCATCAAATCACCTGGGGAGCCTTAATGTAAGGGTCTCGGCCCCTCCCCCAAATATCTGACTTCATTAGTTCTGGAGTCAAGCCCAGAAATCTCTGACAGGGGCCGCCTCACAGCAGGTCTACCAGCCCTGCTTCCTTTACAGCCCTGTCCTCCCCCTCTGACCGCTCCCACGCAGAGGTGTCCACCCTCCTCTTGGGCTGGAATGGAACTTGTGTGCCCCTCCTGCTCAGGAACAGGGCCTCCCCTTGGCCTTCTCCAGGAGCCTCGTCTGCATTCTGAGCCCCTTCCAGCTCTGGCCTCCTGTCACTGGGTCTGTGAGCAGCTCTGCCACGCCCTGACAGCTCTCACCAAAGCCGTCTCCTGGTCCCCAAGTCCAAGGGACACAACCCTTGCCCCGGAGGACCATGCGCTCCCTGCCCTCCAGGACTGCCCTCCTTCCCCTCCTGCACACGCTCTGCTCTAGGAGAGCTCTTCAGGCCCACCAGAGCAGTCGCTGTCTGCTGGCTGATGACCCCTGCGTTTACCTGGCAATGCCCGCCTGACCGCACTCCGAACCCCCATGCTGGGCCCTGTGGCGATGCCGTCCCCCACCCTTTGCCAGCCCTGCCCTGGAAGTCACCGCCCTCAGACAACACCCATCTCCAGCTCAGTACAGAGCCGGTCAAATCTTTTCACTCTGCCCACTTTCCTCCATCCTCATGCGGGTGAACATCTCTTCCAGCTGCAATTACTGCTCTGGCTTCTTAAGAAGCCCTTGTTGCTGTGTCCAAACATGGCCACTGGACCAAGCATTTGGAGGCAGGTGCCTGAGTCCTGTTCTGCCATGCTGAGTGCAGTGCCTGACTACGCGCCTTGTCAGAAAATGGTTCATATTGAAAACAACAGGGTGGAGGATACAAAGAGCTCTCTGGCGTGGCGGACCAAGTTCTGTGCAAGATGCACTGCTGTGAAGGAGCTGCCTTCTCTTCGTTCATCTTGATAAAGGCAGGTGGGGACGTGGCAGACAACTGTGGGCTGTTCCTGGCACCCCTGCCCTGGCCACAGAACCAGGTTTCCCTTTGTGCTGTGGCCGTGTCCCCAGCTCCAGAGTCTGGCCCTGACTGTCTAGAGCCATCAGTTTTTCCCTTTCCTCTGGCCAATCACTGTTAGGGGATGGACAGGCAGCCCAGACAGGGCCCACAAGAAACAAGTTGTTTCCTGGAGTGTGCTGCTGTGGCCCGCAGAGAGGAAAGCTCCCTGAGCTGCCGGCTGGGGTAGGGGAGGTGGGGCACTGTAGCCAAGTTGCCCACAGAGGTGAAGACGGGACACTGGCGCTTAGTTCGCACAGGTCTGAGCTGCAGGATCAAGTCTCAGCAGGAATGAAGTCAATGGCAGCCACTGGGTTTGGGCAGGTTTGAGTTGGGTGCAATCACTGGCAGCTCCCAAGTGTTTGAACCTGCCCCCACCGAGGCTCCTACGCTGCAATCTCCTCTCCAACCTGCCCCCCACCCCAAGCTCCCCCTCACCCAGTCTTGCTTTCCCATCATCCTCACACAGGTTCTTTCACTGGTCCTGGTGAAAGTTTGGGATAACTGTTCAGCAACGGATAACTAGATAACTCAGCTGCTGTCGCAGCTGAGGCGAGAGCAACACTGCTGTCAGCTGACGTAAAAACCACCAGAAGCTGGCGGTCACTAATCCCGAGAGCGCCTGATACAACAGATGAGGAAATGGAGGGTCAAACCCCTGGATGGCTCCCCGCTGTTGGCAGGATAAAGTACAAGCCCCTTCCCATGGCCCCCGGGGCATCCCAACCTGACTCCTTTCCTCCCAAACCTGGGGGAACTCATGCCTCTTGCAACTTTGTAGCTGCTGTGGCTTTGTAGAAACATCGAATTAAATGTTTACAGCTACCCTCTCTCTCCTTTCTGGACTCAGCTCTGAAGGCGAGAACTTTGGGAATCTGGCGTTAATACCTGTACCCCAAGACCTGGACTCAGTAAAGGCTAGAGAGTAATTGACCGCGCCGGCGGCCACAAATTAACTCAGGGAAACAGCATCTCGTTGCTGCTGTGTGTGGGCTGGGGGACAACTTACTAGCGCGTGCGCCCATCCTTTCAGGTCGGGGGCCTCGGAAAACTCCGACAGCTCCATTCAAGCCCTGAACCACATACCCGAAGGACGCAATCCAGGCGGAAGGAGAGCCGCCCCCCGGTCCCGCCGCGCGGGTCCTCGGGGCAGGGGGCGTCCCGCCTGGCCCTGCCCACGCGGGGTCGCCCCCGGGCCCCCCAAGCTCCCCTCAGCACCCGCCGGACTCCTAAGGAGCCTGGGGCTGCGGTGGGAACCTAGAGAGCTCCCGGGTCTTTGCACGTACTGCACGGCCGGACCGGGCCGGTTAGCACATAAAGCATGCCCGGGGCTGGCACCTGCGACTAGTGCTTCCGGGTCGTGGCCAAGACCGCGGTCTAGCCCGGCGCCGCAGGGCCTCCTGGGTAACGAGCCCGCTCCCGCCCGTGCCGGGTTCCGGCGTCCGCCGCGCCGCTGACGGACAGGCGGCCAAGCCAATCGCAGCAAGGGAGCGCCGGGTGGCCCGCCGGTCGAACCAATGGCACGCGGCAGGGCGGGGCGGGGCGGTCGCGGCCGTAGTGCGTCTCGGGGAGCCGCCCTGTCGGGAAGGAGCCCAAGAGGGAGTCGGCGGCGCAAAATGGCGACGGCGACGGCCGGGGCCGGGGCTCCGGGACCGGCGGCCCCCGCGGCAGCGGCCGGCACGGCGGCCTCCGGGGGCACAGCTCCCGGGTCGCAGGGGGTGCTAATCGGGGACCGGCTGTACTCCGGGGTGCTCATCACTCTGGAGAACTGCCTCCTGCCGGACGACAAGCTCCGCTTCACGCCGTCCATGTCGAGTGGCCTGGACACTGACACGGAGACCGACCTCCGCGTGGTGGGCTGCGAGCTCATCCAGGCGGCCGGCATCCTGCTCCGCCTGCCGCAGGTGAGGGAGCGGCCGCGAGCCTCGGGCCGAGGTAACCGCCGCGCTGGCGCCGGGAAGGCTGCCGGCCCCTTTGTTGGCGGGGGGGCCTTATCCGGAGCCCACTCCGTGTCCCCGCCCGGCACCCGGGCGCAGCGCCGATCCCCTCTTCGGACCCCGACCCCGCTCCTTATTCCCACCTGGCCCCGGGCCCACCGGCCGACCCAGGCCCAGGGAGTCCCCGTTGCCGCCCACCGGAGGTGATGAGAGAGGCGAGGCAGCGGGACGCGAAGAGCCTTTGTGGACGCGGAAGCATTTTAGTTTTTGATTCTTTGTTAGGAGTCTCGTGAAACCTAATAATTTAGCTTTGAGACCTTTGAATTGGGTTTTGAAAAGGATGGAACCTTTCTCTTGTGCAGGTTGCCATGGCTACCGGGCAGGTGTTGTTCCAGCGGTTCTTCTACACCAAGTCCTTTGTGAAGCATTCCATGGAGGTGAGGCTTCCTCCCGTCTTTCTTTCCCCCAGAAACTTGTTGACAGGAAACCTGGGTTTGTTGCGTTGCCCGTTGCTCAGAGGAACGAGTACTTGTCTTCCAATTGCAGCGCTGTACTTGGGGGGTTGGGAAGCCCCCTGTACTGCAGAGGGTTTTTTTCCAAGTGGCCTTTTTCTCAGGGTGCACGGCTCTTAACCGCCGTTCTTCAGCTGTTGGAGACTGTCGTCCTTGGAACAAACATCTCTGTGTTGCATCGCTTACGTTTCAGCACGTGTCAATGGCCTGTGTTCACTTGGCCTCCAAGATAGAAGAGGCTCCAAGACGGATACGGGACGTCATCAACGTGTTTCATCGCCTTCGACACCTGAGAGAAAAAAAGTGAGTTTTTATCAGACCTGTCGTACATATCCGTCTCTGTTTTCACGGTTATTCCGTTACATTAACGTTTCTGAAACAAGGTTTAGGGGGTGAGGTTTTAAACCTGTGCCCAGGAGGAGGCGTGGTGCCTGTGGCGGGGATGGGGGGTGTACCAACAGATGCTGTTTAATCAGTGAAGGAACCACAGTCAGGAGGACAGGGCGCTGTGGCTGTAGTTTGGCCGTGGCCTTGGTTTCGTGGTTTGCCCACGTCAGCCTGAATGCTCTAGAACTGGGTTCTCAACCTCAGCACTGTTTACATTTTGGGCTGGATGATTCTTTGCTGTGGGGACTGTCCTGTGCATTGCAGGATATTTAGAAGCATCCTTGGCCCAGCCTTTCCAATGCTCCAGCTAATGGAAGGCCTTTGTAAGATGCAGCCTTGGCTGTTTAAATGCCATGCTTCTGTTGGTGTTTTGGTTTTCCCTTCATCCTCAATACATCTGCTTGTATCTTGAGGCGGATGGACGGCATATAGTCCCTGGGCCATGAGATCTTGAGACCCTCCACTCTGTTCAGGCGGCGTTTATCATCCGTAAAGAAAACAGG